GCTCAAATGCTCCAAGGAAGAAGTCAAGTTTAGCAAGGAAGAAGGCACAACCAGAGACATATTCACAGAATCAAGGATAAGAAACCTTAGTTCTGTTAAGTTATGCACAAGCATTTGAAACTTTATGTTGTCAACAAGCAAATCATAATTATAGGAGAGATCGAGTGAGACCAATTTCGGTAGCAGGAAGATCTCATCAAACAGGAAAGAGCCATCCATGTGTACTGAATCTGCAAGGTTAAAGATTTATCACATTAGAAGAAGTGAAACCAAGTTTTGGAAGCATGGAGATTTTAAACAAAAGAAAAAGAAATGAAATCTCGTACCTGAAAGATTAAGATATGTCAAACTCTTCCAACGGTCGAACCCAAAAGAGAGATTGGGGTAGCTAAAATCGTTGTAACCAAGGTTGAGGCTCTGCAATTTCTCAAGGCGGAAGAGACTACTATTTGTAGTTAGATTGGCTTCAAGACAATTCCAGCTGAGATCAAGGCCAATCACGTGACCTTTCACCTTGTCGCATGTGACGCCCTCCCACAAGCAGCAATCTTTACTCTCCTTCCAAGTTTGTATTATAGGAGTACAATAATAGTAATCCATCATATCCGTAGTGCTTTTGAAATCAAGCAATGCAGAACGCTCTTCAGGACGGCACAAATGTGGTGATGAATCGAGAGAAGATTGAGAAGGTGAGGAGCTTTGGACTCGAAACTGTAACAACATGAAGGAGAGGCAGACGATTTGGGAAAACCGCATTAACCTCCCCATTTTCTTAAAGATGAACACAATTCAGCAAACAAGGGAGTGATGGATTATTCAAAATTGAAGGGCTGGATCCCAGTATTTATAGTCTTTACTGAAGTACAAAATAAATACATAATAAAATTTTAAAAATCTTAAATAAATACCAAAACATAAATGATCTCACATTTCAATTCAAATAGTATATTAATCGTTGGATTTGAGGAGCCATGCGCAGAGCGTAAAAAATCAAATATTTTAAAAGTAAATATGGGTTTTTTGAATCCATTATATTATTGTTTTCAATAAATAGAATTAGTTAATATAACAATAACAATTGTATATAGCTCAATCTTTCTTTTGTATTAACATAGGTCATTATAATCAATCATTAATTCATATAAAAATATTTATTTTTATATTTTAATAATAATCTTTTTTAATACTACAATGTTACTTCAAATTCGCTTCAACTATTTTAATTATATTTT